GGTAAAACCGATATCGGTCGATAGTTATTAACATTACTTTTATCCCCCTGTTTAAAGAGAGGAGTTACTTTTGCGATTTTTATAGCAGCAGGAACTAAACCACTTCTTAGAGACTGGTTGATAACCTTACACAAAACTGGTGACACTTCACATTCACATTTCTTGACTGCTTTAACATCTATGTTATCGTAGCCAGCTGATTTGGATGGGTCCAAGCTTGATATAAGCTTGCGCACATCTTGCACTGAAACTGTTGAAAAACTGAAAACTCTTCTACTGGTGGCTTCAATGGAGAGATCCAGGGGTATATGAGGTATTTTGTTACTAAGATGACTTCCTACAGATGCAAAAAAATTATTAATGTGATTACTAACTTCCTTTTGATTGGTTATCTCTGCAGTTCCATGTTTGATGGTTATTTCATTGATTTCTTCCTTGGATTTATTTGTAATGACATTATTAATCACCTTCCAACATTTTCTTGTATTGTTATGAATGTTATCAAACTTATTCTTGTAATAGATGCCTTTTGCCAGTCTAATCTCTTTTTGAATTAAAATATTTGTTTCTTTGTATTTTAGTTTAGCAAAGTCGTTGTAGGGATTGTCTTTTATTGTTTTATAATAAAAATCCCGATTCTTTATTTGGTTAAGACCAGGGTTTGCTGTGAGGTTTAAATCTGTTTTTAATATTTACAAGAGTAATGTTTTCTGTAAAACATTTTGATAACTTTTCATAATTTGAGTCTAAACAGGAAGAATCACTGTAATCTCTGTCTAGTTGTTGTAGTCTTGTTTTGATTATGTCATAATTTACTATCCTTTTGCAGTAAGTCTTTTCTATTTGAATTTTGACTTTTTGAGTTTTAATTTTAAGGATTTGTAGTTCATGATCACTTAAAGAGCTTCCAATGATGTATGCATCAGCAGGAATTGCATCAGAGTTGCTTAAGATGTGGTCTATAAGTGTACTCGAGTTATTTGTTATTCTAGTTGGTATGTTATTATTCAGGAAATTAAAACCATTAGCATTTTAGATTAATAAAGGCACAACCGCACAACAACAAAATAATAATGTACTATTGCGGCCGATAAAAAGTAATCGACTAATTTTCCCGTTGTAAATATGGTTGTCACCAGTGGCATTTCAAAAATAATTTTATAAAATTAAGTAACGTCATCTTAAATTAAGTAAATCTTAAATTAAGTAAAGTCATTATTTAATTATGCCTTACCATAATTTGAAGCAAAGAAAGGCTATATTATCGCCAAAATTGAAGAAGGATGGTCTCAACAACAAATAGCAGATGAAATAAACTGCAGCAAAGGCGCTCAAAAATTAAACAAAAAGTGGGTGGAAACTGGTGATCTGAGTAGGGTAATGGGTTCTGGGCGTCCAAGAAAGAAGAAAGACAACTCCAGTAAACGACAACGAGTTGAATATGTGAGGCAATTTTTTCATTTTCTAACTCCATTCAACCCAAGAGGAAACCAACTTCCCAGCATATGTTTGGACGGCAAGAAAACGGTTGCGAGAACAAGGTTTATTTAACGGCGTGAGTGCTAAAAAGCCTCGCTTGACGGATGTTAATAAAGAGGCAAGAGTGGAGTTTTCAAATATTTTTTAAATCAATACGCTGAATATTGGGAGCGAGTAGTCTTTTCAGATGAAAAAATATTTCAATCCTGCTACAATGGGCAACTGCGAGTTTATCGTCCCAGAAACCATAAGTTTGATGAAGAATACCTCCACAAAACTGACAACAGCGGAAGATTTTATGTCTACGTGTGGGCGTGGATATCATCTTCAGGGGCTGGTATAATTCATATTGTAGAAGGCCGATTCATGGGCGCCGGAAGGAATTCGTCTAGGGGGGGGCCCTTAAAGTTTTTTACAAGTTTGATAGATGTTATTTATAATCAAGTTGTACTATAGAAGTTCACATTAAACTTAAGCCAAATAAAATATCATCTTTATATGTATATTTACCTATTTATTGATATTGGTACATATTGCAAAAAATACATCACAGTTTTTTGGTAAATATACAAATATAAAAAAATTGTATCGCCGAGGAATCTCTAGTACAGCCGTCTAGTATACGCTAGGGTGTTTCATTTAAAACGAACATTTTTTTTTCTTGCTGACACATGAAAATTTTGTTTTTTAGGTTGGAAAAAAAATTCCCTGAAAATTTGAGCCCTTAATTTTGATTCTAAGTACTTCCTTTTTAATTTTGTAGTTTTTCCATATAAAAAGCATGTATTTTTAATCATTTTTACTTTAAATTTCTATATTTAGGCCGGGTTTTGAATTATAATTTTTATCACCATAATTTTCTGCATAGTATTCACGGTTTTTGAAAGGCCCTGCATCAATTTTGTTTTTGATTTATTTACGTTGATTGTATACTATAGTAGCTCCAAAAGTCGTTTTTTCACTCTTTTCACATATTTTTGAGAAAATCGAGCGAATGACTGGTTTTACCGAAAAACTTCAAATAAAAAAGTTGTAGAAAATTTAATTTTTGACAAAAAAGGTTTTTACTTTCATATCACTAAAGTGCTTTGTTTAAGAGATATAAGGAATATATAGTTGTTTAATCAAATTACATAAATTTCAATAAAACCTATTTTTTCTTTGTTTTTGGTTATTGAATTGCTTATATCTCTTAAACAAAGCACTTTAGTGATATGAACGTAAAAACCTTTTTTGTTAAAAATTAAATTTCCTACAACAAAATTGATGCAGGGCCTTTCAAAAACCGTGAATACTATGCAGGAAATTATGGTGATAAAAATTATAATTCAAAACCCAGCCAAAATATAGAAATTTAAAGTAAAAATGATTAAAAATACATCCTTTTTATATGGAAAAACTACAAAATTAAAAAGGAAGTACTTAGAATAAAAGTTAAGGGCTCAAATTTTCAGGGAATTTTTTTTTCAACCTAAAAAACAAAATTTTCATGTGTCAGCAAGAAAAAAAAAATTTCGTTTTAAATGAAACACCCTATACAAATTATGTAACTATACGCTATACAAATTATGTTAAATTAAAATATAATGAACAAATGATAACGATCAGCACTTAACGTCAAATTATGGAGTACCGGAATTTCTGGGTATGAATTTCCAGGGGGGGGCCCGGGCCCCCCCCTGCCCCTATGTAGCGGCGCCCATGGGCCGATTAACTGGGAACCGATACGTGGAAATTTTAAACGATGTAATGCTCCTGTCAGTGCAAGAAAGATTTGATAATGATTTTGTGTTTCAACACGTAACATTTTATGATTTATCTTTCCTGATCAAAAAAATATATTTTTTTCATTTTAAGGATAACTCGCCAGTTCACACTGCTCACGTGACTCATAATTGGCCAGAAGAAAATCACATTACAACGCTTCCTTGGCCGTCAAGAAGCCCCGATTTAAACCCAATCGAAAATATTTGGGGATACCTCGTAAAAAAATATATAAATATGAATTTAGACCAAGAAATAGAGAAGACCTTATTAATGCAATTCAAAATGAGTGGAACAATTTGGAAGAAAATTACGATATGCAAAATTTAATTAGTTCCATGCATAGGAGATAACAAAATGTTATAGAGAAGAATGGTGGTTCTACCAAGTATTAATTATTTTTTATTAAATGGAGTTTTTATAGCATTACAAATGTGTAAGATTATGTAAGATAATGCCCGAGGGAGGGCTGAATGAAAAAATTGCCAGGGCCGGTTTTTCTGGGCCCATCCAACCCTGGTTGGCTCATCTTTTATAATTGTTATAGTCGTATTATACTATTTCCTTGAATAACTATTAAAGGAGTGAATTTACGAAAAAATTATAAGAGACATTTTTTGTAGAACGTTCAATTTTCTTCAAAAATATATAGTTCATTTTTATTAAATTATATTTAGTACTTTAAAAGTTATTCAAGGAAAACCAATTTGCAGGGGAGTCCTTTTGGGGCCCATGTCTCCGTAAGGATGGCCAGTAGGAAAAAAAATTATAGGAACGTGTCATCTTATTTTTTCATATTCTATCTGAATCCGAGAGATTTCCCACATTTTCCCGGACACCCTGTATATGTATATACATATATATATGTATATTTTTTTTTCTGTGGCGCGAGTTCTGGGAGTTTTTTAAAACGATATATTTAAAAATAAATCTATCTTTTTTGATATATCAAAAAATATACGATTTAAATCGATATATCGTTGCCATCCCTACCCATAATACTATGTACACTTCTGCATTTTGCATACTTTTATGTAAGGGTCACTAAAATTAACAAAACCATATATATTCACCCATATATTCAATATGTGTCCTAATAAAATTAGTTATTTTTGGTGGAAATTCATATTTCATATGATTAATCTTGTAAAAACAAATTTATAACAAAAAATTAATTTTTATTGAAAAAAAACTAACTAAATCACAGTTTAAAAAAATAAATTGTTTCAGTTGGTTACTATAATTTAAAAAAATATGTTTACTAACAAATGTTTTAAATAACTACCAAAACTAAAATATAATTATAATAAAATATAATTAACAAATAATAATAATTGGTTTTAAGTTAAAAATCATATTTACAAAAATTATTTTAAAAAAGTAATAATTTTTTTAATCAATATTATAATATCTAATTTGTCAGGTAAAGTAGATATGTAATATTTATAAAAATATAAGGTGTCTGAAGAAACCTACCTATTTCATAGAAAAAAAAATAAGCTGACAACAAACATTCCATAGAAAAAATAAGATGACAACAAAACCTGCACATTGCAAATTTCAACTCCAAAGAAAGAAAAGGGGTTTATATGTATATAAAATTTAGATTGACAAACAAATTAAGTACAAAAAGGGTATCAGGATCAAGATTTCAAAATTTTAACTTCAGGGCTATATCGCCATTGAAAATACGTAAAGGAATATGTTACCCTTTATTACTTAATATTGTAGTTAACACATTTTTGTACAAACTTATTTTGGGCTAGGCATATGTGCTGGGTTTTTGTTATCCTATATAAAAAAAATAATCACAAAGTTTTCATAAACTTAAAACATTATTTACACTTAAATTTAATAATTTTTAAAGGTTTAAAACAGCTATTTAAAGCATTTTTAGTAATTTTAAATCGATTTTAAGTAACAATCTAGTAATTTAAAAGTTTGAATAATGATTTCCTCAGTGGCTATAGATTTATTTTCTCCCACACCCATAAGGGTGAAAGGTGTATCTGTACTTAAAGTTAAATATGCAATATATGGCTCACTCTGAAATTCTATTATTTTATATTCCAGCTCTAATTTGTCTAATATTGCTTTTAAAGATTCTTCTGTTTTCTCTTGAAGATCCTTAAAACAAAATATATTTATAGGTATGTCAAACAAACTTAATTAAAGTTGAATTACCTGTTCAAAATCTGTATAAGTAAAATTTCTTTCTCTGGCTAAATTTGGTAGGGTTTCTGTAAAATCCTTTATAGGAACAGATTTATTTTCCACAACATTGAAAATGGAAAATTCTTTATATTTTTTTAAAGCCACATCTTCACTTTGCATTGGAGATAGTTCAAACTCTTTTACTAGTTCGGGTACTATATTTTTTATTCTAAAGCAAAACTTGATTTAAATTATATATTTCTTTAAGTTCTTTATTATAGGTACCTTTCCAACATTTTTTGTGCAGCCAACTGTTTAGCAGCTTTTTTAGTGGTTGAAATAGCTTCAGTCTTAATTGATGATATTTGACATTCATAAGTAAATTCCCTGGAATGTGCTGGACCTGTCCCAGAAATTTCTTTATATACAGGATTTGCTATTTTGTTTTCAAAACATAAATCACTTAAAGCAGCTAAAAAAATAAGCTTATTTATACAAATATCCTTTTATTTTAATTGATAGAAAATGATCATTTTGTGAAAAACATAAAACAGATTACCTATATAACTGTTATTAAATTTAACAAGAGGACTTTCTGGAGCTGGACTAACAATACCACCGCTAAACTGCTGTGTGGGATTTTCTGCCTCGTTGTAAAAACCCAACTCTTTTAAATCCCTCAGGGCATTAAAAGCTGCTTCCTGTTTACCAATTTGCTTTGATGTACCAGTACCATATGCAACAATGTGATGAACATGAACTTCAAAATCAAATCGATTTATATGTGTTCCACTTGTGCTATGGACAATATTGTATTCTGGCGGTGCCCAGTGATTTTTTTGTGTCAGTTCTTGAAGAACCATTATTGGTGTTTTAGTGTTTTTTGCCATTGTTTATATTTTCGTGTTATAAAATGCCTTAAATTATCCTAGACAAAACCTATGTAGGTAAATCATCAAGATACACCTGGTAAATTATTTAAGCCTTAAATTTTAAGGTTATTCTACGCTGTTGTCATATTTTGTCCTATAGATTAATTAAATTAAGTAATTATTTAATTTGTATATTCTTATATTTAATATACAATTTAAAAAATCCTTATTACTTTTTTTATATTTCAATATTAATTGAATAAACTCAATATTAACTAAGTTTTTAAAAAACAAAGGTATGAAAAATCAATAGAAATACTTACAATATGTCACACATGGCATCGTTGTTTAGCTGGTTTCAAAGATGCCATGCAGGTGGCGTCATTTAAATTTTAACTGTCATTTTTGTTATTTTTCAAAATCAATCAAAAACCTTCTTTATCTCTGCAAAAACCTAACTTATTTGTTATATGACTTATGTTCTGTGACCTGGGCATCATACACATTCATACACAGAACATAAGACATCATATTTGTTATAAACCTAACACTTTCTATTTACAATATGTTGAATAATGGTAACTATATAGTATTTATCGATATTTAACCTTTTATAACATTCTATTCTTTATTTTAGATGAATCTGCTCTGAAATTACTTGATTATATACAATATATAAAAGATTTTGAGACTGAGATAAATAGAAATTTAAATGTAGAAGGTAAACACTTTTAACTACAATTCTGACTGTAGAAAGGATCCTCACTGAGATCTGTATGAAGTGATGTAAAACTAGAACAAATTGTAATTTTTTTACATAGGTACCTAGTAGGGGTGTCAATCCTGAGCCCATTTTCCAATCCCGGGCCTTTTGGGACTAAAGGTAACTAATCCCGGGATCAGTCCCGAAAAAATATATATCATTAATTTTAAAACCAATTTAAAATATAACAACAAACAAACTAACGAACGATATCTTTCGGACTTCACACTAGTCAGAAGAATGGTTTTCAAGAATTCGTAGGCACATTGTACCCACGTTTACCCCCATTAACAAATAATTCCATTTCTTTTATCAATCGGGCCTTGGTGAGTTCCAATTGGGGCTGTAACTTACATTGAAATTATCAAGTTTGTGACATTTTTTCAGGTTTGACGTTTAAAATATGTTATATTATAGGTTATGTACATAAATTTATCCTACAGTGACCTGTAATTTTACATTTTCTTTGCTGATTTTATGCTATAGATGGAACCACTCTTGCTATGTAATTTCAATGTATTTTCATTATTGTACGCTCTCTTAAAATGAATTAGTCAAAAATGACTAATTTAATAGTTATTAGTGGCTGCTTTTTCACTTGTACCTCGGTTAACCATGGAATACCATGGTATACCAAAATGTAACATTCAATTCTTTTGTAAAATTGTCCCCTGAATCCGAATGTCGTCAAAAGTTAAAAAAAGTAGAACAGTTTTTGAGATATACCTAGTCAATTTTCCATTTAATATGGAATTGAGTATATCTCGAAAACTGCTCCACTTTCATAATTTTTGACGGTATTTTAGGATTCAGGGGACAATTTTACATAAGAATTGGCTGTTAAATTTTCGGATACCATGGTATTCCATGGCTAAATATGGTACAAGTGAAAAAGCAGCCACTATAGTAACTATTAAGTTACTCATTTTTGACTATTTCATTTTTAGAGAGCATGTATAATAATTTGACTTGAACTGAGTAAAAAAATGAAGTGTTTATATATATGCTTATGAGTAGGTATTATAATATGAAAAATATCATACGCTTAAAAAAAGTCTATTTTATTCTTTGTAACTTATTACTTAGATCCCGGGATTGGGACTTTTAATCCCGGGATTTTCGGGATCGGATTTTTTACGGGATCCCGGGACCCCGGGATTTCGGGATCCCGGGATTGACACCCCTAGTACCTAGTTAATCTATGCTTGGCTAATTTTTATTATGTTTTTAAAGAGCCCTAGTTTAATATTTTTGGTTTAAAATGGACTTAAACTAGAAGTATATTGTATTATAATAAATATTACTAATCTGCATAGTACCTACTTACTAAAATATATTTTAATTTTGAAACTATTATTTTTATAGATAACAAAAAATTTGAAAGCTTAATAATGGAGTATACAAATGATTATTTAAAGGCTATTAATGATATAAAAGAGCAAGATAATATAAAACCAAATTATAGACATTCAAAGAAGGAAATAATAGCCAAAAAAAATGCATTAAAAGAGAATATTAAAAAGGTTGAAGATGAAATAAAGGAATTGGAAAAAAAAGATTTTGAAAATACGAAAGAAAAAAATTATAAACAGGCTTACAATGTATCCTTGGAATTTTATTTTAAAAATTTTAATTTTAATGTTAATGTTAAGGAAATAAATGATAAAACTTATACTGCAGAATTTAAAGAGGTTAAGGACAATAAAACATTAAACATTATTGTAAAGTTTAATAGACAAAATCATAATATTATTGGTAATTATTCTTGTGTTTATTGCTAAATTTTGTTTTTTTAATATTTTGTTTTAGATTTTGAAGCTGATTTTTTAACGGAACAAAAAGAGGAGCTTTATCAGAAATATGTTGTGGAAAAAGGTCATTTTCCAGCTTTAATCTTGTATTTAAGAAATGTTATTTTTGATGTGGAATTAAAAAAAAGTGAATAAATTGATAAATAAAAGTTCTGACAATTAGTTTTTAAGTTAACAAGCATTTATAAACCTATAGGTTTAAAAACCTTGATAACAATATTTATTCAAAATATGTATTAACATCAACAAAAAATTAAAATATGATAATTACACAATTATTTTTTTCTTTTATATTAAAAAAATATCTATTGCATAATATTGACTTATTTGGGGTTTGTTCCCTATAAAATATAAATAAATATAAAACTCATTATTTCTGTTGCTACCAGCAACTTGCTAGGCATCACTGAAGTGATTGGTCAATTTCATTATTAACTAATTTGAACCAATCAGGTAGTAGAATTTCTACTGTAGAAACTCCCACAACTTATGTGTGGGTTGTGGCAATTCCAAAAACATCAGTCGCCCGTGATACTATATAAAATCTGACATCTGTAATTTCTTCATTTATCCCAATAAAAAATATGCATAGGAGTAGAAAAAGAATAGTAAATATATTTGCTATTATAATAGCTAGCTTGCATTATTTCTAATATAATAATATAGAATTTCTTAAAATATTGATTGGTATGACGTTTTTGGCGCAATTTTCGGGACACCTTGAATTTTAAATAAAAACATAAACATGGTAATTGTATATTTATGTATACAGAATTTAATAGTAAAACGCTTACAATTTTTAAGTAACCTAATACCAGTGCAACTTAAACAAAAGGGAATTTAATATTTGCTATAAAAAATGTGCACTGAATAAAACAATTTTAATTTCATTTGTTCGCGACTTTTTACCTATAAAACATGAAAACCAGGAGAAGTATTCAGGTATGTTAATTTTCTTTTAAATATTATTTTTGTATATTTACCAACGGAAATGCTTGCACATTTAAAAAATTCGTTATGGGTAGCGCCTCGATTTGAATCCCAGCGCAGTGTTGCCAAATGAGATGTATAAAAAGTCGTGTATGTAGGTCGGGTATCAAGAATCATAAAAATGTAACTATTAGTTACTATAGTTGGTTATAACCAATCGTGCACGCAGTGGCGGACTATTGGGGGGCGGTCTAGGGGAGCAAAAAAACCGAAAAGTCATTCACAGCTGTCTAATAAAAATAACGCTGAAATTTTTTGTTCAGACGGCTGAATGATCATTTCAAATACGAAATAAGTTTGGATCAATAGATACAGCCAAAGTTTAATGATACGTACCTTAAAAATTATTAAAAAACCTGACTGTTTACTTTTGGCATTGATTCACTCGACGCTTTTGGGTTAAATTTTTTTCTGAGGTCGAATTCGGATTCAGAACGTCATAAACCTTCAGAAAAATATAGTCAGGTTTGTGTTTAAAAATTTTGTAGGCTTGTGTAATTTTTAATCTAGAACTGCTATGAATTCATACGTTAACGGGCCCCATAATTTAAAAAAAGTTAAAATGTATATAGGTACTTAGAAGTTCGCTGGAAAAAACTTGCAAACAATTTTCATGTCTCTAATTATATTATTATATAGGTCTTGTGGGGAAGGTTGCAAAGGATATGCCCTAGACAGATTTTTTGTCTAGGGGATCTACTAAAGCCCGTATACGGCCCCTAGAGCGCCACCACTCGGCTGATCATCGTAACAAAAGTAGAACTTTTAATAATCAGCTGTCAAACGCGTGTTTTTGAAAAAAGCCGGAAAATGTTAAAAAATATCGAAAAAAAAACCCTTGGATCGATTTGTTGTGTTGTTGGGTGTATTTCGAGAGGAAATCCTGGGTTGAGTTTTTACCGGTTTTCCAATAAACAGCTACTAGCTATTTTCGCGGAGCTAATCCCGAACGAATTCCGGAGTTCGGAATCCGGACATCCTAGGCATGCGCTTTTTAAAATTTGGGGTTCAAAATGTAAAGTGCGCATGACAAATATTAAAATGCACATGCCTAGGATGTCCGAACCAGTTCGGGATTAGCACCGCGAAAACACCTACTAGGTGTTAATCCGAATGAAGAAATAAATTGCATACAGTCCCTGTAAATATAAATTGTACCTATTAGATACAATAAATAAACATTTTAGTAGTGATTAACGTAAAAAGTGTAAACATTTCAATTCAGTAAAAATCGTCAAACAAATAAGTCTTCTAAATTTAAACAGCATTTAGCATTATTAAAAGCGTTGATTAAGATTTTGTCAGCTGGGTGCTTTGCGCAAGCTTATGTTCTGCGATCTGCGACCTGCGACAATTGTAGACCCCGCTTTATGTTCTGCGACAATTGTAGACCCGGTTTTTAGCGTATTAACAAAAAGTAACATTAAATTTTATTCATTGAGGTAAAATATTAATATTAATTAATTATAATATCTCAATGCATTTATCCAAAAATTATTCAAAAATCAGGACGCTGTTTTATAGGTATTTTAAGCCGGGTCTACAATTGTCGCAGGGGTCCGATCGCAGAACATAAGCTTGCGCAAAGCACTCCGCAACGTTATTTTGTCAGCTGGGTGCTTTGCTCAAGCTTATGTTCTGCGACCTGCGACAATTGTAGACCCAGCTTTACTTATTTTTACATTCAATAAAATTTTCGACAACAATTAGGTAATCACAAGGAAAGTTTTTTTGTAAAAAATTGCAAGAAATCGCAATTGATTTGTGTAATCAGGTAAAAGAAACCGAAATCGTATAATTATACAAATTATCGTGTAATCTGGCAACACTGCTCCGGCGTTATTTATCTGTCGAACTACGTTGGTCACATGACCCACGCTGGCCGCCATTTCTCTGTATAAACAACGGCCGGGACGTTAGTGTGTGTGTCTTAGCATTTTCTGTTGTAAAATTGTGAAGTTAATATTCAAAAATGTCCGAAGTCGAAGCAAATAACACGAATAACTCAGTTACTGAGGAAAACAATCAGGTATGTGCCGAATTTGGCTTAATATAATAGTTTTTTATCTTAAACAACTCGAGCAATGTGCACGTAATAGGCGAGTGGTGTTAGACTGTGACTTTTTTTTGCTAAGCCCCTTTGTGATAATGCTTTTAAGTGAATGAAAACTCACATCCTAATCGTTGCATTTATGATGTCTTTTATTTACTTCAATATCTCAAAAAATACGATAAAATATGAGTGTATTAACTTGATAGACTGTTATTTATGTCTAAGTTAAAATGTTTTACGATTTGCATGTAGGAAAATATGCAAAATAAGTCCAAAAAAGGCATATTTAGAATGTACGCCGTCGTTAGGCTACTTGCTTAATCAACGACATACGTTTGGCTTTGCTTTCCTATCTTTAAATGATTGAATAACGAAAGTCATGTCTTTGCTAGTAACGGACGCAGGTTTACGATTTTGGAGGGAAAATTTGATTTGCAATTTCCCATTACAACAAAGATTCTAAATGATTTTTTCTATTTAGAATGAGAAAACCCCAAAAGGTAAAAAGTCCAAGTCACCCAGAGTGTCTACTTTAGACAGAACAAGGGAGGAAAGTGAGGCCATAACAAAGGTAAGTTACCATGTTATATTTATAGAGTTTTTTTTAATATATTTTTTTAGGGATTGGGACCTGAAGTAGAGGGCAGACGTCGTACGCGATCGGCAGCAAAAGGAGTAGTACCTGCCACTCCCCCACCCCCTGCAAAGAAAGAACGTAAGAGTTCTAGCGCCTCGAAAGGTACCTAACCTAACTTTACAGCTAAATCCATACTAAATTGTAAATTTTCAGGACGTGGACGGCCAAAGAAGAGTGTGGAGGTTGAGAATGAAAATGACTCCCAAGATGAAAACAAAGAGGAAGTTTCCAGTATGGAAACAGAAGAAACAGACAAAAAAAATAATGACGATGCAAAAAGTGATAATGATGCGACAGAACATAACTCCCATGATGATAAAGAAGAGCCAGCCAATAATAACGCAGAAGCAGCTAAGGTATTTATGTTTTTTATTCATTTATTAGAAAAAACCTTCATTGTAAGACTGTTAAACAATAATTTTTTGCATTAACATAAAAAAATGATAAATAAGTAAAATTATATTTTAAACTTGTAAATAAATTATTTTAGTAAATTTTCTCCCACTAATGTTTCTGGAATTTCTTCTAAAATGCCATTTGTATGATTTACTATTAATTTTTATGTTTAAAACATTTGAATAATTTTAATAATTTCAAATAATCAAGTTTTATTTAAGATATAAAACAATAGGAATTAAGTTAACAATGCAACATCTAAAATTGCTTGTTTATTAAAAAAATTACAAAAGATGGGTAAAATGCCTTAAAAAAATTTGGCGCCAAAAAAATGTTTCTTAGTGTCTTAATCAATAAGCATTACTTGAAAGTAGAAAAATCAGACTTTATAAAGTCCAAGTAAGTATTTTAATTGTAATTTATTAGTATAATGTTTTTGGGTCTTGTTTTTAAATTGTATAAATTTCGTTTTTTTTTTATTTTAATTGTCCAAATATTTATCAATTAACTCTCAAAATCTTTAAAATCATTGGGAAAAAATATCAATTATCAATTTTTCTACAAAAGTAAACAAATATGCCAAATAAAACTATTAGATTGTTTAAAAAGTCACTTAAAAAATAACTTATTTTATTTTCTGAAAATACCACAAGTATGAAGTATAATTTTTTTTTTAGTTGTGGGTATTTCTTTTATAAAGAGCTACAAGGTCGATTAAATTAGAAAAAAAAATGCCTATTAAATTAAATTTATAAATTAAAAAAAAAAATACTTTGTTATTCCTGAAATTTTTGACATTTTGGTAAGTTAGTAAACTTACAGATGAATCTACATTTTCGTCCAATTTATTTGCTACTATATTCTATCTTTTGTTTTTATAATGGTCACCATAACTTGTAATTTGATACATTCGATATCTTGATTTTTTTCTATCTAAACATGTAAAATTCCAATATGGTGGCTATAAGAAAAACAAAAGAAAGTGGTGGTAACTCAGAATCCAGTAGGTGAAAAAAAAAAATCAGAAATTCTATAAAAATGTGGATAAATGTGTATGTTTGCAGTAAAACTAACTTTATATCAAATTTTACACTTTTTAATTGAGAAAGCTGATTTTTTTAAATGCCATTGTAATTACGCAGCTTTTCTTTAATTTAACCAACCTTGTGGCTTTTCAAATAAAAAAAATACCCATTTTAGTACATACATAAAACCAAGTGGTGCACCCTGTATATTCTCAAAATATCAAAATAACAAGTATAAAAAGGATAAAAAACAATTTTCTAAGTACGTTTCAAAAATAAAAAGTTGGAATTGGTTTATAATATTAAAGTTATAATTATTGACTTTTGTAACAATTTTTAATATTTTGTTTCATCACACAGTGTTACCAAGTTTTGTTTAACTTAAATGCCTACTACTTGTCAAAACATTATTTTGTATACTTAATACAAATATTATTTTTTAAGGAAACAACAATTTCGATATTATACCATTTATAACCTTATAGTTTTTTTGTTCGGCTGCAGTCATTATTATTAACTTTTAGCCAAGGCTGCAGAAATGAGCAAGGCAGTTAATATGCTTTCTTTGCCCTGTTGTATAAACTAATTTTTTTAAACATTCAATATTTCTGTACTTACTTTGAAATTATCAAGTTTGCAACATTTTGTCAGGTTTGATGTTTGACATATGTCATATTATATGTTATGTACATAAATTTATTCTACAGTAAGTTTACATTTTCTTTGCTGACTTAAAGGTAAACGCAATAGATGGAATCACTCTTTCTATGTAATTTCAATTTATTTTTATTATTGCATGGCGGTGTATAATAATTTGACTTTTAAACTGAGTACAAATATGAAGTCTTTATATATAGGCTTATGGGTGTTATAATATAAAAAATTTTATACGCTTAATCAAAATTCTTAAAAAAAATAATAAAGATACAAATAAAGATAAAAAAAATGTTTTTATTAAAATGTAAATACACTAAGGCGAAAAAAAGATGTGACCATTTAAACGTATGCAAAGTGTCCAACTTTAATCATATTTTCCCGTCCTGAAAAACCCCCGAATAAATTGTGCCGAAAACGTTTTTTTTACAAAGTTATTTAATGATATTGAATACGAAATTTCATCTTTTATACCCTGTATCCCTGGCCTGTATACCCTGGCATTTCATTTCCTTGTATAATCCAGTATGCTTGTACAGGGTGATCCCCTATAATGTCGCCCCCCTTTAACTTTTTTATTTTAAGTGTCCCAAAAAATTTAAAAGTATGGTTATGTAGGTACTAAAAAATACTTTTTTTCTACGTATAAAGAAAAATGAAAAATTGATCAATATACAGGGAAAACCAAAAAGTTTATGTTTTTTCAATGGATCACCCTATATATGAATTTATTTTTCGATTCCTTGTAAAATTCTGAGTATAATTCATATAACAAACCATATACCTAAACTCAACTATTTCTAAAATATTCGCATTCGAAATGTTATCATTAAATGTTTTTTAAACTGTTAAAAATCAAGAAGCCTCAGTATACCAAATTTTTTATTTAAAATAAATTACTATAGTCACATTATGTCAATATGTCTTGTTAAATAAGTAAAAATGGGGTACTCAGACAGAGAAACACAAACTATTTCAAATTATTATCTTAAAAATAATTTAAATATTTCAGAAACGGTTGAATTTAGGTATATGGTATGTTATATGAAATATGCTTAGAATTTTACAAGGAATCGAAAAATAAATACATATATAGGGTGATCCATTGAAAAAACATAAACTTTTTGTTTTTCCCTGTAAACTGATCAATTTTCTAATTTTCTTCATACGGAGAAAAAAGTATTTTTTAGTACCTTCATAACCACACTTTTAAATTTTTTGGGAGACTAAAAATAAAAAAGTTAAAGGGGTGTGACATTATAGGGGATCACCCTGTACATATGCTCATGCAATTAAACATTATCAATGATTTTACTGATAAAGAAATTTGTTTTTACTTTATGATTAATTGTTGAATTATGTTTGTTTTTCAGTGGAAATTGAGAGTTGTATTCGAATTTGTAATTTTTTAATTAATAAAACTATTTGAACATTATTTTTTAAAAATAAAACATATAATACATGAAATAAAACAGATTTCCAAACAATTTTTTTTTAATTTTCGAGAGTTTCGAATTTAATTCCCTAAAAAATAGTTTTATGCATTAAGGCAATAAAATGTATAGTTTAGGCTTATCACTGACATAAGGCATTAAAATTATTATAGGTTATAAATAATAATAATAAATAATAGAGAAAAGGTACCTAGGCGTCCCAGCCATAATTATCTAAAGTAAGAAATAATTTTTCTTAAACTTTTTTCATGTAACAACGCGTTAAACATTCTCCGTTTGTGCTGTCTAGCCCTTTCGACTTTTCTTTTTTTTTCTAAAATAGATTCATGAAAGACTGCTCTTTCAGTATCTAAAGTCGGAAATAAAAATAGAAATGCAAAATTACAATTTTTTTCTATATGGGCCATTCCACGCTTAACGGATAGGACAGTTGCCGTGTTTTTATTTACAAAATAATATTGTTCTATTATATTACCAATGTCAAATTTTTATAAATAGTTCTAAACAAAAGCTGTTTAACAAGGTTTTTATTTTTCAAAATTGGGTATCGTGATTGACTGTTTAATTCCTTAAAAATTAATAATTTAAAGCGTAACGGACGGGACTATTACAAAGTCCCGTCCGTTACGCTTTAAATTATTAGTTTTTAAGGAATTAAACAGTCAATCACGATACCTAATTTTGCCAAATAAAAACCTTGTTAAACAGCTTTAGTTTAGAACTATTTATAAAAATTTGACATTGGTAATATAATAGAACAATATTATTTTGTAAATAAAAACACGGCCACTGTCCTATCCGTTAAGCGTGGAATGCCCCATATATATTTTTATTAAAAATAAATAAAATAGAATTATTTTGTTTTAATTTTTGTTAAATGTGTATATATTTTATGTATCATAATATATTATATTGTACATTATTTTACAAATTTTAATTATTGTATGTGAATTAAATATGATGTTATTATTAATTTACATTAAAAATTATAATTATTATGTCAAAAACACCTATATTTACTGGATTTACTGGATATACCTATAGCTTGATCTTCTTTCAGTTATTTTCAATATGCCTACAAAACTTGCGCAAGATGCAAAATCTGTAAATTATATTAATTAATTAATTAATCATTTTTAATAACCTATAATAATTATTATAAGTCAGTTATAAGCCGGTTTTAAGCAATATTATTATGGTCACAGTTTTTTCTCATTCTAATTCTTGTTCGCTTTTTTATGAATACAACTGTACATCAATATTTTGGTTTGGGAGTGACAAAAATATTGTTTTCTTTAAAACGAATCACCCTTATACATATATACTCTTTGCGGGGTTTGGTGGTGGTCCAAATAAATTTGCTGTGCAGTGGACTGTAAATTTGTTTTCCTCATTATCACCAACTTTACTCCGAACTTGATCGGTCGATTCAATGTGCTTGTTTTTATTATTAAGAATGCGATCTAACACTCTTAAAAAATATGTTATTTGTAATTATTTGTTATAATTAATTAATTTTCGTAATTAACGAAATAATGTGAAAACGATCTCCCCGTTAAAACCCAGACTCAAAATTGTCGTTTTTTCACGTATGTTACTTGGTGTGTTTTTGTTTGTTTGTAGGAAAACGAGGCGACCGAAAATGGTGCCAAAGAAGAGGACAGTGCGGACGGCGCAGCTGGTGAAGCTGCAGCAGCAACGGCGGAAGACGCAAAGAAAGAAGAAAACGACGCAGACGCATCAGCGACGGATGCCGAAAAACCTGCCGAGTAAATGAGTTTTATAAGTTTTGATTTTTTTATTGATACTATTGTAGGTTATAAAACTATTAAAATAATTTTTTTGTAACATGAGGACGTTTATTTAAAAAATACTTTGTGATTTGTTTCTTGTATAATCAGTCAACTAATAAGTCTTTATTATTATTATTATTAATAGTGTGTGAATGCATCTTCTAGATAATCACTGTTGCCAGTGTTAGGTTAGTGCCCATTCTTTTGTACATTTGTTTTTAACTTTGGTTATCGAGAACATGCCATGTTTTCATTGACAAAGTAATTTTTTAATAAATGCTGAAGTAGGGAAGTACATATTCCATATGTACCTGAATCTCCATCATAGAAACTTTTATTCTTTTCATCATAATGTTTCCCTACAGATTATTGTTAGAGATTTTATTTAGATATATTCTTCAAAGTATCGTTTTTGTATCATCATCACAAAAAGCAGAACATTTTCCATATTTCCCAATAAGTTTCAAAACTCTGCCCCAGACAATTTAATTTTGTATTAACTGTATTTTTATAAAAGTGTAGTAATATATTTTATTTTATTTTGAATTCTTTTTGACATATTTATGTAATCTTCTGTAATGGCTGAATGTGAAATAAATTTTCATTAGACAATTCATTATTTTTTGTTTTATAATTGCGTCCCTTTTATACAGGGTGTCCGAAAATGAAGCACACAATAGAGGTACTTCCTGTTTGGTTTTGTATTATTTTTTTAACATGCAAGTTAAAAAAACCAACAACACTGTAGTTATCAAATTAATAAGTAACAGTTGCCCACAACTTTGTTTTAATATTTGAAATTTCATTATAAATAATTTTGTATATGGGTTATTCCACCAAATATATTTTTTTGAGTATGACCCCGCGGATTTTTTAAAAATTGTATGGAATTATTATTTACATCAAAAAACGATTCGCTATTAATATTAAGTTATGAATTAAAAAAGTCTTTGTTTTTTAAATGTCTGTAACTTTTTCAAAAATTGACATATTTTCAACTTTTTTTTTATGTACTTTTCAGAAAAATATGGTAAAAATTGTGCAAACCTATATTCAACGTTTTTTTCTTTTCTTATAAGATATCTATAGATACTAACATTTTCTGTTCTTTGAAATTTTCATAGTGTCGTTTTTTATTTTTTTTTTCAATAGAAAAAAATGCTTTTCTGGCTTATTTGTCATAAAACCCCTCTGAGAATTTTTGAGAATGTAGAGAGAACCTCAAATTTAAAAAAATATATTAAATGAATGAGTAAGAATAGTAGTAAAATAAGTCTGAAATTTTTTTTTAAAAAAGCAAGGAAAATAAAAATTCATTCCTTTTTTTTTGAACTTTGTGGTTATCTAAATCCTCAAAATGTTAATTTTTTTCAATTAAAATAAAAAAGGAAAAAGCGCCAGTGAAAATTTCAGAGAATTTGCTGAAAATGACAATCATCAAGAAATTTTCATCATTTGGAAAAATAAAAAAAACGAATATTTTTTTTCTACATTTTTCACATTTAAAAACATAAATTTTGAAAAAAACGTCCCTAAGGGTCAATGTTTGAAAAAATTGTGGAAATTTGAAAAATAAAGTGCCACTTTTTTGAAAAAAAACCTTTTTTTCGGTTGGTTTGTGATAAGTTTCAACCCAATCAAAAGAGGTCGGGGTCAAAATTAACAACTTACAATAATTAATTTAGTATTTGATTGTATTTTAACAAAAAATAACCCTGTCGTGAAAATTACATATTTTATGTAAAAAATTTCAGCTTCAGAAAAAAATGGCAAAAAAGTACTGTTTGTATTTTTATTAAACATTTCCTACATAAAAAAAGTCAACATTTGAAAGTCATTCATGTCCACAAAATTCAAACAAAAATCTGAAAACCTGAAAATATTTTGTGAAATGACCCATATTTAAAACAATGGTGTTTTAATTATATTTTTTGGACTTTGTGCACCATTTTCTGGAAACTAAAATATAAAAACTTTATTACATTTTAGATTCTAAAACATGTAAATAAATGTAAATATTTTTGCAAGTGTCCATATATTAGTCCTTTAAGGTAAGATATATTACACACAAAATGATAAAAACTAGTAAGTTGTCAACGTTTTAAAAAAGTAATTGTAATAAACGAAGAAACATACCGACCCATTTAGCTTATTTCGTAATTTAAAAAAACTAGTTATACTTAATGTTATGCACATTCAAAAACACATGATCATTTGCATTAATATTTAAATAATATACTTACATATATGATAGTTGATCTTAGAGATAATAATTTAGACTTTTATTTCTAGGGAAATACTTAGATTGTATCTTAATTTCAATTAATAGTCCTACATACAAATTCACTACCTACTCAAAACAATTATTGTAAACTAATTACAGTAATTGTTTTTGAATGTAATTAGGTTATCAACGATATTTTTGGAGTAGATAAAAAACATAATATGTACCTACTTTTCTATGTTTATATAAAATTGTAAGCTTTTTGGTTAGGTAGTGTTTCAATTGCAATTTATGAATTTTTGAATGTAATAATTATTATTAATAAGTGTAATTATAAGGTTTAATTTACTGTTAATGGATATGTATGACTGATTATTTAATAAAAATTATGCATTAATTAATACTTTGGAACCCTCCCTGTTAAAAAATAATAAGTTTTATTAGGTACAGGTAATTAGCAAATATTTAGTAGTTTACCAGAAAACAATCCAAACAGCAGATTAATTTGTTCAATTGGTATTTTTTATAGTAAATAAATCAAGAGGTCAAATAAAAATTAGGATGATTAGGAATTTGGATATGTTAAGCAATAAAATCAGTTTTTAAACTGAGAATTATCTCATAGTTAAAAAACCGAACATTTTTATGACATAATTTTCATTATGTAGGTATATTAGTTTTCAAGACATGTTTTTTTTATTTAGAAGTTTTCGCTTTCTTAGGCAGAACTTTTTTTTATAACAAATCATTTGGTGAAGGTTTTTAAGATAGGATTGTCGCTTTTTTAATATTAATTTAAATTTTGCATATACACTGCGCGGCAAAATTAAGGCATAATAAGTAAAAAATTTCTAACTCTAAAACGCCTTTACCAATCTTTATGAAATTTTGTATAAGAATACTTCAACTTATATCTCAGTTTACGTGTTCGAGGGTTTTTCGAGAAAATATTTTTAAAGCCCTTGTATTTAATATATATAAAAGTTTTTTTTTAACGTTTTTTTTTAATATTAAAAAAAAAACGTTAAAAAAAAAACTTTTATAGGGAATTTTTTTTAAGTAAATAAAAAATATGCTGTTAAAGACCGTATTTTTGTTAGTATACCCTAAAAATTTTGTACAAATCAAACGAACAGTAACGAAGATACAGAGCGCCTGATTTCATCCGGTTAGTGCACCCTCGCAAACATCTGCTTTTATCCGCAAACATCTGCTTTTATCCGCCATCATCTCATTTTATCCGCGAACATCTGCAATCACCCGCGAACATCTGCTTTCATCCGCGAACATCTCATTTTATCCGCGAACATCTGCAATCATCCGCGAACATCTGCTTTCATCCGCAAACATTTGCTTTTATCCGCAAACATCTCATTTTATCCGCGAACATCTGCTTTTATCCGCAAACATCTTATCTTATACGCAAACATCTGCTTTTATACGCAAACATCTGCTTTTATCCGCAAACATCTGCTTTTATCCGCGAACATCTGCAAACATCTGCTTTCATCCGCGTTCGGTTTGCCTGCATTTCCTTTGTCCATTTCGGACCTGTTTCGTACGCAAGCGTCTGGTTTCATTCGCGGTTTTTGTTTTCCTTTTTCTCGTGTATACTTTAGTTTACCTGCTATGTCAAATTTTACTGAGCTTTAACTAACTGGTTGTTAGCCGTTCACGGCACACAACTTTATAACTATAAAAGGAATTATTTGAATAAAAACAACCTGTAAAGGAAATAAGTTTATTGAACATTGAATATTCATATTGTATGGAATGTGGAACAATTGATGATCCTACTCACAGAACTTTTGACTGTCCTTTATTTGATTTATCAAGAAATGACCTAATCGATGCTTTGCCGAATTGGCCTATTTCACATGAAAGATTATTTGAATTACTTTTAGATTTAAATTTAACTGGTCTTCTTTTACCTTTTACTAAATGTGATGATCTACCGAATGAATAATAATTGTAATCGCCATCCTATGAATTTTATGTTTTATTGTCTGTTGATATTTGAATATATTTACTCTTAATCAGTGTGATTATTTAATTATATACTTTGAATTAAGATACTTGTTAGGCTTATATATGCCAAAATTACTCTATTATTTTATCTTTACCTGTACAACTGTACAATTCATCAATTTCATTTATTTTTATTTATTACTAAATTAACAATTTATTTTTTTTTAAATATATTTTTCTATCTATAAATACAACATTGTATCTACATTAAAAATATTTTTACCAATCCAAGGGTTATTGGTACCTTGGACACCATTGGTGTAAGCTTGAGAGGGGCCCTTATTATTTTTTTTATTATTACTATTATTATTATTATCTCAGCTCATAGATATTCTTCTTAAATCATTACCGATCCATTTTAAAATTTAATAATAATATTATTTTCCAATTATCCACAGTTGCGTCTTGACTGTTGAAGTGTAAGGACGTCCAAAGACATCTCCTAAGCAGCGTATACGATACAAACGTATTGAAGTATCAAAAGCGAATCTAAGTATTCGGAAATACCGGTAATCGGTAATAAATTAATAAATAAACAAACAAGTGCAAAAAGTGGAACAAACGCGAAAAGTGCGCCCTTAAATTAAAAAAATATCAAATCAATATCGATTTTACAAGTGATAACTGTCCCAAGTGCAGATGAGTGCAAATTGTGTGTGGTACCTCCCCCTGGACTAAGTCCTCAAGTGTTTGACCTGGTTAAAAGGTGTGAGAGAGTCAATCAGTTCCAATGAAAATTTCCTGGGCTACCACACGTGCGGGCGGCATGCGATAAGGATCAATCTAAGCACACCAGCATAGCAAATATCCCGAAGTCCCAAGTCTGCATAAACTAGATAAGTAGCTACCAAATTGCATGACCATGTCCACCCAATAATATTATTACTAGTTAATACGAAATTCACAACCTTTAACTAACAATAATTCTTCAGGTAAATTAATTAGTAGCAAACAATTTCCAAGAAATTTATTTATTTATGTTTACATCTATAGATTACCAAGACGTAAGGGTTCATAAATTAAGTAAAAATCGTTCTAAGAATCACTGGGATCACGCACAGTGGGAAAAAAATAATAATTCGAGGGTCGACAATTCCAGTAGGTTAAACGTATTTCCACATAGTCAGAGGGCAATATATATTGCCGCACCCCGCCGTAATATTACGGCGGGGTGCGGCCGGCAACACTTCGGTTCGGAAGATAAGACTCAATAACGCACAGGGGGGCAAACAATTCTAAAGCGGCTATCAGTAAGTACACCATCAAGGAAAGGCGCTAGCAGCATACTAATCCACCCACCCCCATTCAGGAATACCAAATGAATGGGGTTATTACTAAAGCCCTGGTTTAGGAGGATTCCGGATTGTACTTAGTTTTGGGTCAGTTCAATGTCCTCCAAAAACCCTTCCTAAACTGGACGTATGGCCCGACCCGGCTGACAAAAATCCCGGGAGCGGCCTTAACCTTTGACACTGTCATCCACGAACTCCTAGGGTGGATCTACCAGCCGGCGTAAAAACTTCGGATCCAACAAACACAGGTAATGCTGTGATTTGGCGGGATACGCAGGAGAACGGAAAGGGGGTAATATAACCCCGGGAGATCAGTGGATGATAATATATCTGGGGCCTGCCATAGGTTCCCATACTCATACTCATACTCAATATTATTTTCCAATTATTTTGGAGTATATTCGTCATATAAAGGTTATATATACTTTTAATGTAAATTATATCAATAAAGTTTGTGGATTGGGAAGATGGGAGAGAGGTATGACATGGGCTTGGGGTTGTAAGATTTGTTATGTTGTTGTCACTCGTGTTCCTTTACGCGGATGACAGCATCGTGGCAATTCTTACTTTAGGGGTCTCCCCCTCTCTCTCTTCTTCTTCTTCTTCTTCTTCAATATTATTTGGTAAAATACAAATAAGGTATTTGTTAAAAGACATTTTTTAATCATAAAGCTTACATTTAAATTAATTGTTAGAAAACATTTATGTTTAATTTCAAATCATTTGGAATTATAACATCTTCAATTTGTATTGAATTTGTTTGAAAAACACTTATTTCGGCGTAGAATTTTTCATCCAACTTTATAAACTTTTTAATTTTTTGGCATAACCATATTTTTAATATATATGTAAGAAGTATTATACTTATTATTTCTGTGCACATGTGGTAATCTTCACTATAGTATACCTGATTTTTAAATTTAAATCTGGTGAATATAATTAAATTATTTTCCCATTGGGAAAATGTCGTGTTGAATAAACTTATTTCCTTTATAGGTTGTTTTTATTCAAATAATTCCTTTTAGAGTGCCGTGAACGGCTAACAACCAGTTAGTTAAAGCTCAGTAAAATTTGACAAAGCAGGTAAATTAAACTAAAGTATACACGAGAAAAAGGAAAACAAAAAGCGCGAATGAAACCAGACGTTTGCGTACGAAACAGGACCGAAATAGACAAAGGAAATGTAGGCAAACCGAACGCGGATGAAAGCGGAGGTTTGCAATTGAAGCAGATGTTTGCAGATGTTCGCGGATAAAAGCAGATATTTGCGGATAAATGCAGATGTTTGCGGATAAAACCAGATGTTTGCGATTAAAATCAGATGTTTGCGGATAAAATCAGATGTTTGCGGATAAAAGCAGATGTTTGCGGATAAAATCAGATGTTTCTGTATAAAATCAGATGTTTGCGGATAAAAGCAGATGTTTGCCGATAAAAGCAGATGTTTGCGGATAAAATTAGATGTTTGTGGATAAAAGCATATGTTTGTGGATAAAAGCATATGTTTGCGGATAAAATCAGATGTTTGCGGATAAAAGCAGATGTTTGCAGATTAAAATAGATGTTTGCGGATAAAAGCAGATGTTTGGAGATTAAAACAGATGTTTGCGGATAAAAGCAGATGTTTGCGGATTAAAGGAGGCGTTCGCGGATATAAGCAGATGTTTGCAGGTAAAATCGGATGAAGCAGACTTTTGCGGACTAAAGTAGATGTTTGCGGATGAAATTAGATGTTTGTGGATTAAAATAGATGTTCGCGGATGAAAGTAGATCTTCACGTATAAAAGCAGATGTTTGCAGGTGAAATCGGATAAAGCAGACGTTTCCGGATTAAAATAGATGTTTGCGGATAAAATCAGATAAAACCGGGTGAATGCAGATATAAACCCAAATACAGGTATTTGCGAATGAAACCAGATGAAAGCAGATATAGAACTAAATAGATAAAACCCGACGTTCGCTGATAATATTTAAACCCGAAA